GTATATATCAAAATATATATTACTATTATTACTGCTGTGTTGCGCCGTTGCGTTCTTAGAAAATATCAGATACCTACCGCACCTATTTTGTAATTTGATAATAATACGTAATAGTAAATGCATACAATATTTAGATTTCAATATAACTTTATGTTTCTTAGATAATATATAGGTAAGATAGGTACAATAATTGTTTTTCTATATTATTATATCCTCTGCTATTGAATGTTAGCATTATCATTCGACAGTCGACAATCGTCCTGTCAAGTTCAGTTTTTTTTAAACAACATTATTTAAATATTATTTTAAAATGATTCCAAGATATGCTGCAAAATCAAAAATTCCACCATCAAGAAGAAAAAAACATAGAGGATTTATAAATTCAATTAGAAACCTCCACAACACAAACCGACCTAAAGAAGATAATACAACGTWAGTGTTTATTTCTAATGTAAATATTGTAACATAATACTGTTATAGACTGTAAAATAGTTTTGGACAATTTTTACATTTAAATTACCGAAATCATAAACATACATAAAACATAATATTGTATAACAATTGCATATGTAAAATAATGTATTAATGTAAARAATGTAATATATAATAAGGCCATCGTGCATTATAATATTATAATTATACATTATAATACATCATCATACCTTAAAAAACCAAGTTTTTTTTGTGGGAGGTATTATAGCAAAAATTTAAAATAACAAATACATTACTAACAATAAAAATTTATTGTATTTTAGATTCTGACTGCAGCGATAAATGTTTATTGTTTTTACAATGAAATGTGTGTGTGTATTTTGTTAGCCATTAACATTTTGATTATTAAAAATGCTTTGATTTTCAACATCACTAATTTTTGATTGAAAAGTGAATTTATTGAAATTTTCAATTTTTAACTGTTAGTTATAAAAAGCGTTGAGAAAACAATAAAATAGTAATTTTTACGCAAAACCAATTTTTGAAAAAATTAATTTTGTTTTTTTAGTATCRGTACATCGGAAACTAATCACCGTAGAAACTAAAAATTTTCACCAAATATTTATATTAATATTTTTCATATATATTGTAACATTTTCCAATTATTTGACTCTTATTGAGTTATTTATAACAATGAAAAATTTTCGTTTTTTTTAAAAATTAATGTCGATTTTTCAATTAGTAAAAAAACTTCAACATTTAATGTCCTCATAAATTGCTTTAATAGAAGTTAAAAAATATTGAAGAAACATATATATTATGATTATTTTTATGTGTAATTAAAGTTCGAATTTTTATAAATTTAAAATTTCGTAAAAATCACAAATATTTGCAAATTATTTTGAGGTAGAAACAACAAACTATTGTTGTTTCTGTAATCAAAAAATTTWAAAAAGCGGGTAAGTATAAGTGAATGTCGCACTGCTGTACAGTATTTTACAAGTGAGTTACTGTAATGGGAGGTATTAAATTTTAATTCAATGATATAATATCATTATCTATAAAAGTTTAAACATTTTATAAATTTTTAACAACTATAGAAATTGTAAATTTTCAATTCAACAAATTTTGTCAAAATTTGAACTTTAAATGGTTATAAAAAAAAATCGTGCCTATGTATTTTTGATATTTTCTATCTGCTATTATATTAACTTATGGGGGACCTTGTATTAAATTTGCAAGTTTTTTTTACACAACGAATAAAATTTTATTGTCATTTATAAAAAAAAAAAAAACTAAAAAAGATTGAAAATTTTATCATGCATAGAATACCGTTCTGTAAACGTTCTGTAAAAATTTCATGTTTCTATTACGCCCTACGGTAATTAGTTTTAGAGTTACACCAATATCTAAAATCGATTATTTCAAAATTCCCGTTTTTCGTTAATTTTTTTCGGTTTTTCGAATCGGAAAAGCCACTGAAGTTGAAAATCGAAGCATTATTTCGACAAGTTATCGTGTACACGCACAAAAAAAAAAAACCACACAACATAGTAAAATCAATACATTTTTCGCTCCGCTCAGAATCTAAAAATATATCAACATTGTTTTTTTTTTTGTAGATATCTTAAGTTTGAATAACCTAATCAAGAATAACTATTTTAATTAATTTTTTGTAATTTAAAAATATTACTCGTGTGAATTTGAAACTATTATGCTATAATGTTACTAACTACTAAGTAGGTTTATTTATACTGTTATTGTGATCAAAATAATAATTTATTTTACTACCTGTATTATAGGCATTACTGCATTAGTATAATATAGTTGTTTTAAGATTAAATTCATTTTTGTCGAAAAAATTGCATTTGAAAATGTCATTGTGCGTATAAAGTATAATAATTAATAATCAGTCTTGTAAAAGATACTTTGTATTTACAGATACATACTTTCAAATACTTTTTTTTACGGGTCTTACCCTTTTACCATGACMTAATAACATTATAGATAAATTGAATTATTAGTAAACTGAATTAATTTTTTTATTTTAATGATCTAAACATAAAAATATTGTAAAATTTCAGATTTTTATTATTTTATTTAAATTGGGCTTCCCTGTAAATAAAGTAAGACGAAAACAGTATTTTAAAATAGTATTTGATTTTAAATACAGATATTTTCAAAAAAGTATTCAAATACTGCGTCCAAGTACTTTTTTCAAATGTATTTAGAATACGTATTTGAGTACTTAAAAAGTATTTGAATACTTTAATTCAAATACTTTTACTCAAGTACTTTACAAGACTGTTAATAATATAATTTGCCTATACTCTAACAAACCATCTTTACTCAGAATCGTTTTGCGTACCTATACAATTTATTATTTAATTCAAATTCTATCATCACATCTATTACAATGAATTACCCAACAACTACTGTACAGCATAGTGGTACACACTTATATCCACCTATTTTTTTTAGTTTTTGTTTTATAAATATTGATAGTTTATTTTTGGATTKTACCTACAGAGAAAACGGTAATTCTGATCAAAACTTAAATACAAGTGTATGCATTCAAATTCRACCAGTGATTTCTGAAATCCAAAATGACAGCTCAACTCAATTGTTTGCCGATGTAGAAAATACAAAGCTGGATATTAGTGTATCACCTGTTAAAGAAAATGATACCAAAACCCAAAGTTTATTTGGACGTAGAATTGTTGACATAGCTTATATTTTTAAACAAATAGTAGATGTTGATAACCACAAGCCATTCGATTGTTCTTTTAAGGACATGGTCTGCGTGAATGAAAAACGTGATGGATTAATATGAAGCTTTAAATTCATTTGTTTGTTGTGTAAAACTCAAAAGGTTATAAATTCAGAAAAAAAAAGTAGATCAAGAAGTTATGAACCTAAMACAGCGATTGTAGCTGGTAATATGAATGTTGGAGCGGGATTTAGCCAGTTAGAGACTATTGCATGTGCAGTCGAGATACCTCCTATGTCACAATATGTATACGATAGACATCATACTATTGTTTGTATGGGATGCTAAAGGGCTGCAGCTAATGCAATGGAAGAAGCTGCTAAAGAAGAAGCAGAACTTGCAATATTGTTGGGTAATATCGACGGTGACGGAACTCCACTCGTTACAGTTGTCGCAGATGAAAGCTGGTGTAAACGTTCGTATAGGACAATGTATAATTCATTATCCGACACGGTGAATACCTAATAATATTATTAATCTAATGGAAATTAAACAAAATAGTCACATTTAGTATTCTATATTTGTTATTAATCTTTTATTTAAATATTTAGAACAAAAATGTTAATGAATAAGATGATCTAAATTACTTTATCACATTTTTTTTTAGCGTGTTAAGATTTTTACGACATTTTCAAAATATGAAATAGTTAAAAAATATATGAAATTGAAGATTCTGAGCGGTGCGATGAATGTATTGATTTTCCAATGTTGTGTTTTTCTTTTTTTTTT